TCTGTCTGTCTGTCTGTCTGTCTGTCTGTCTGTCTGTCTGTCTGTCTGTCTGTCTGTCTCTCTGTCTCTCTGTCTGTCTGTCTCTCTGTCTCTCTCTCACTCTCTCCCTCCCTCTTCTCAGACTAGGTTATTAGATCTTAGTGTGTTGTCATCTTGTGTACATTTCTTTTTTTCACCGTTGTCTTTTTGTCATGTGACTAGTGTTCCTGCTGTGACGGACCGGACTGTTCAGGACTACTCTGTCTACAAAACCTTCTTGGTTTTCTTTGGACTGGTGAATGCGCTCTACAACAAGCTGTTCTCGGTGAGGAAATTTACATCGTTGTGTTAATTAATTTCCCGATTTTATAATCCACAAGTAATGAGGAGTCACCTGGATTGTGATATGTTCTTATTTTAGATGGAACAGTTTTTAAAGGTTGTAAAGTTATTTGGTTATGTAGAAACTTGGTCATGGAACATTTTACAAAAATTGTAGCATATTTGTTTATATGGAAACTTTGGTCATCATTTGGATGTGATGTTTGTTTTATTTCTGTAAGACACTTGTGTTGTCATGATAATAGGATCTGAGTATTTTAGTGTTAAGTTCTTTTATATCTTTGATCATTTTTTGGTTTCAAATGTGTTTGAACTTCAATTATGTTCGCTTGATTCTGGGAGATACAATGTTTGGGTGACTCTATCATGATCAGAAATAGTTCAGTCCTGCACTTAGATTCTAGTATGGTATATGAGTCTATGGTGTTGGCTAACTGTTTAAATGTTTTAAGCCCAAACAGCAAAATCTTTCAAGAGAGCAAAAAACTATTTTTCATTCTTTTAATAATTTTACCTACTTTTTGTATCTTTTCTTGCCTTTTTCAACACTTTGAATGTAGACAATTTAATGGAGAGCTTGAAAACTCTACATATTTCCAAGAACACCGTGACTGTTGATTGAACTAGGTTTAAGTACATCACGTATAGTCCAGCACTATACAAATCAAGGCTGGTTGACAACTCTGCAAGCAATGCTTCCCATTTATATCAAGTCCCAATGGTATTTGCACCCTTCCTGACCTCCATAGAGTTCTTTATACACTTTTAGCAGGGAACATAAAGGTTGAACTGACTTACTATATGTGGGTGGTTACCTCTTGTATTATGTAAGTCAGGTGGTTGGAAGGCACTGCAGATAGGTCCAGTTTCTTTTCTACTATCCCTCTTTTGTTTCTGCTGTCTAATAAAATGTCGATGTTCATAGGTGGCTAGAGGTCGCTACTAGTAGATCCTACTTATTTTATTTCCTTCTGTTGTTTTTCCCCCTGTCTTGCTTTTTTTGGCCTCCTGCACTAAATAACCATAATTGTGTGGATGTGCTTCTCTTTATTCAAATAGAATAATGTGTAACTCCTTACCTCCTTACTCCTTTTCATGCAAATCAGCCTGTATTTTATAAATGTGCTGTAATGTTTGCTCCGCAGAAGGTGAAGGTCGTGGAGGGGTCAGTTTGGAGCAGGGTCCTGTTTGAGCACATCCGCCACAACGACAAGGCCAGCCTGGAACTGTGTGATGCTGTGCTGGCTCTGTACCAGGAGGAGCTGTTGCCCTGCGAGTCCTTCGCCGAGTTTGTCGATGTCATTGGTGAGAAGGGGCTGCTGCTTTTGTGTTGTATCATTAGGCTTATATGGGGGGGGGGGGGGGGGACGGGACTGATCTCATCATTTGGACATGACCTGGCCAGCCAAGGTGGTTATAGTAGCTGTGTGAGTCTTCAAGGTAGTGTGCGAATATAAATAACACTTTACAGACTTCATAACTAGAGATAAGAGGTTTTGGACTCACATTGCTGATATACTGATTATACTGTCTTTTGCGTGATAAGATGAATCCTTAGCTAAACTGCATTTATGTATTGGATTCTCTCAGTGCGTCACCTAATTGTCTGTGATGTGGAAGTGACTACGTACTGCTGTACTCATACCCCTCATTTTGTTTCCAGAGTTGCAACTTCTGGTGTCTTGTAATATGGCAGGGCATTTGGTTTTGAATGTTAAAAGTTAAGTTCAGTTGTCTTGTAGAAAGATATTTCATCTAATATCTCCATCTTTCCATAAAAGGATGTAATGTTCCTTTCAGCCCAAATTGGCCTTGACTGGCTGTTCACCTCCTATTTATCTTAATTTTGCCAATAAAGGTGTAAAACTTTTTTTCATGAGAGGGAGCTGATAGTAGGTCCTACATCTTTCTTTTTCCTCTTGTTTGTCTGCTGCTTTGACTGCCCTGTTAGCCCATTGGTGTCATGTTGGACTCTCTCTCACCCCTCACACACACACACACACAACTCTTACCCTTGGTCCACTTTTCATTTAGTATCACCCTCTATTTTGAAATAATCCCCCGCACTAAATAAAAAGATCTGTAGAATCACGACCTTGCGAATCCATGATTAGTTCAAGAAATCTGCCATATGATGTGGCCTAAATAAGGTAAGGGAGGGGAGTTTAGGTTATTTGGGCCATATGTGTCCTAAATAAGGTAAGGGAGGGGGGTTTAGCTTATTTAGGCCACAGTGGCCTAAATAAGGTGAAGGAGTGGGGGTTAGCTTATTTAGGCCATATGTGGCCTAAATAAGGTCACCCTTCAATAAATCAGGAATTACACACGGCAAGCTCTCCTCTTCTTTTACTTTTTGATCTAGCCTAGGGCTATGGCCTATCTTTACGCTCTCATACTGAGCGAGCGTCTAAGCTACGGAGTGGCTCACGTAACGCGTCTCTCCGCACTATCTCTCTCTGCCGCCTGCCCCCACCTCACTCATCACTGGACTGGCCAATCACAACGCTGCACCGCTGACTGCCTGTTTAGAGCCCGCCTAAAGTCCCCCAAACCCCTTCCTTCCAGTTAGAGCTCGCTCGATCTCTCCCACTATATCCGAGTTCGGCCTTTCCTTGTCCCGCTAAACCCGAGCACAGGTAATTGAGTTTACATAGATTTAAAAAACGGGGGTTCCGGTAAGGTCCCGCGGAAGGGATGGTCCCGCTGTAGCGGTTACCACTATAGTCACGTTCTACTGTATATGTGTGTGTTGTGTACTGTAACGCACCTCTCTCGTCCCCAGGTTTCTTAGATGTCGTACCAGAGCCGGACCAATTTCTGCAGGAGACGCTGTCGAGCATTCCGTGATTGTGGACGGTTCCCATACGCCACAAGAAAGCTTTATTTTCTCAGAGCTGAATGTTTGCTGTTCTCTATGCCCCCTTTTCAAAGGTGCTCTCAGCTTGCTGTTGGCCTAATGTTTGCCTGTCATTACTGCTTGCTTTTTCACCTTCGTATTTAGTACTTATTGTATTATGAACCGACACGTTTTAGATATTCTAAATATACTTTCTTTACATTTGTTTGTTGTTGTTTTTTTTAAATTGCAATGACTCTTTTATCTCTTTATGAACTAGAGTATTTCTGGTTTTCTATGACGTTATTTATTTGAGCCCTGTGCCTACAGGACCTGTTCTCCTGAGCTCCTATACATTGATTACTAGATATACACTGCTGCAAGACTAGGCGTATGTCTGCTGCACAGAACATGTAGTAAAAGTAGTCATGTTCAGGCATGCAGTCTTGGTCCATCACGTTTGTCCTTTGCCATTTAAAAAAAATAATTGGTCCAGCAGTAAAGTGTTCTGACAGACCAGTATTGATGTGTTATTTAAAAGACTTTTATCAGTCCTACAAGTTGAATATTTCAGAGTCTTTTTTTTCTTCGTTGTAATCCATAAAATAGTTCCTCTCTCCTGAACGGATAGTTAATGGGGTCTTCTACTTTTTGCCAAGTGTTTTATTTTCCTTGAACGTTTCTAGCAGAATGAGGGCATCTTTGTTCTGACTCAATGTAGACTATAAATCTGCAACTTTCTTTCAAGATAGGGTCAGTAACTTTTTCTCATTTGTACCAGCTTTTCCTTTTTCTTCGACTTTGAATTTGTTTTAACTTCACCTTTTTCTAACTTTGTCCCTATCAAGTTCTGATATAGTTCATCCTATATCTAGATTCATTTTTTAAAACTTTTTGGAGCAGTGATTTTCTTATCCTATGGATGGAGTGGTTGTTTGAAGAGAAAGATTTCCCTACACGGCCCCATTTACTTCTCCTTCCTTAAATTTATCATCTGCATACTTTGTGAATTTCACGATAAAGAAATAAATTCTATATTTGTCAGATAATTTATTCCAGAAAGCTACCTTTTTTGTGTGTTATACTTCATCAAACTGTTGCCAGTTGTTCATTCTTGTGCTGCCATGTTTATTCCTTTTGCTTTAATTTATTCGCCATCATCATCATGAAATTCTCGTCTTCTTCATAATGATAGCCATTCTTTCTGGATGCCAGCTTGTTCTTTTCTTTGCTGCTTTATAGATGAGCACTCAGTGCTTTGTGCTATGAATATCGATGTGCACAATGAGATTAGGAAGCTTTGGTAATTGTGACGAAAAAACACAATGATTGTTTTCTGCGGTTTAGATGTGTCATTTTAATACTTGAGAGCTGTGCAGACAGGACAGTTGAGGTCTCAACCCTCTCTGTCCTTTCTTGACTGATGGGGGAAAAAAGTTAAAACTGCACTTGGATCTTTGTTAATAAGTTGTGGTCGGGCTTGGTCTACCTGTACTGAACTTCTCCCTATCTTGAGGCTGTCAACTGAAAAAGTTAATAATTATGACTATGATACTATCACTATTATTTATGTTATTATTATAACCATTATTATTTTTTATTATTATTATTATTATTGTTATTATTATTATTATTATTATTATTATTATTATTATCATCATCATTGTTATTATTATGTTGTTCTGTTATAATTTTATAATTGTCACTATGTTAAGGCTAATTTTTTATTTCTAATTTTAAAAAAAATCATATACAGATCTAATTATTATTATTTTTGTTTTTATTAGGATTACTTGTATTATGGCTCTGGCTGCCACAGTAGATGTGTTGTCTTCTCTCTTGCTCTGAGCACGCAGCTTTCCCAGTTCTGGTTTAACCTCTGCATTAAAATTGTGTTTGAAAAATTTAAAGCACTTTTTTTATCTCTGTGTTTCATAATACTAAGTCATATTTATCCTTGTGACAGACTTCTCAAAACTAAAGGTGTGTAACATTGGAATCGACCACAAATGTCAAAGTTTTGTTGTTTTTTGTTGTAGTACATTTAGAGGTTTTATGGCGCCCGCAACTGCATAAGGTCATGTGAGCGCCAAGGGATGGATATTAACAGAGAAGTCTTTACAGGGAATCAGGCTTACTCTGCTCACCTCTCTTATAGCTTCATCAGCACGAAGTCTGCTTCGACTGTCAAGGCACCCCGAAAATACCAGGTCACATTAGTGTGACAAACATATATAAAAGAAGAGGAAAAATTACGATAGTAAGGATTAGGAAAGAAAAAGCAGCAGTTCCCTGTTACAGTTCAGGCACAGTTATGAGCTTGGCATTGTTGAATCGGCCCATTTACAATTCTACTGTGCATAAGAACAAGTTAAAGTCCCCCTTTTGGGAATGGCCTAAAGACACCAGTCAGTGCCCGGGGGGGGGGGTCAGAGTTTGAAAATTTTGTGGCAATGGTCAATGGTCTAAAGTTCTGCCACAGAAATATCTAATCTTATTGGAAATGTGGAAATGGAATGAATGTAGGCCTACTGTAGAGTCTGCTTTAACCAAACACGGTTAATCCAAAAATAATGATAAGCCGAAAGAAAATAAAATCCATCCCCTATTTCTCCTACATGTATTTGAGCAGCCTTTCTACACATAAAATCGGCCTGAGGTTGACAAAATTTGGTGGTCCTGCAGATTTTGATTTAAGTTTAAGCACACTCCTCTGTATATTCATGGATAGCTAGGTGCGAGACTCTGATAGTCGCCAAATTGCAAAAGGGCATTTGTTGGAGTCTTGCATCTAGGCATCGAAATGTTAATTGCAGATAAAAAAAAGTGCATTGTGTAGCAAGAGCTGCCCTCAGCTTCTACTAACATAACATATGGTTTTGTAATAATTATAAAAACATTTGCATTTATATAGCACATATCCATGCTCTACAACAATTTCTGTGCATTTTACATCTTTTATGAAGTCAGCAGGCTGTAGCACTCTCTGAAACATTCTCGGCTTCCTGGGAAGCATATGGTGCAAGCAGCCGATTAAGCTCTCAAACACTAACAAACTAACAAGATCTTTCACTGTCTATGGCCAGGTACCCATTCCCATCTGGGTGAGCTCTGGAACATTTTTGTGAAGTGCCTTTCCTAAGGATACGGTGTCGTGCCTCTGAAGGGATTTGAACCTACGACCTTATGGTTGTGAATCTGAGAGCTTAAGTTCTAACCACTAGACCACTGACGCCAGTTTCTATATTAGCGTGTTCTATACCTTGACAAGGATAAACTGTTGATAAAACAATATCACTTACAACCGCGTCAGCTTCCGCCTTGGAATTGTCTCTTGGTTGTTGGTGACATGATTGCTGGGTACCTTTAGTAGAACAGAGATTTGTTGCTGCCTTCCAGTCAGACACAAAGACAATGTTGAACGCTCGAGGTTACTCGGAGTTGAACAACTTTACCAAAACAGTATTAGGTTTTTTAAAACATTTCCCTTTATTTATACTACGATTATGGTTGTCCACTTTTACGAAAATTAATTGATTTCCATTGTGAACTCGAATGTTTCTGCGGGCACACATAACTCTATCTATGAAGGGTCGAATTTGACCACCCCTAGTCTAAATTAGTCATATGCCCCCATCACTACATGGCACTAAATCAAATGCAGACCAATTGATTACAACATACGCTACTGTCTGTTGTAACTTAACACTATGTAGGCCTACTTAGCTTTGGTGGGCCGGGCGTCCTCGCAAAAAGTGTCACTCATTGTTGAATATTAAACCGTTTTGAAAATGGAGCTCTTATGCAGCGCTGAGTGAAAAAAACAAAACAACAACAACAAACAATGGCTCAGGCTTGAAGACAGGCAGGGGCCTATATATAGGCCTATCCTTATTTAATTTTGATCTAAACCTCTGCCTCCTGTATGCCGGTAAGTTTCATTCATAAACATGTTTTTATTAGATTTGCTGCACGAAAACACTATATACCATCTTTACAAAGAGCCATAAAACAGACAAAGAAAAACTCCAACTGAAGATAGGAAATGAAAATCTCCCCCAAAGAAGAACAACCAACATACCTCGGAGCCAAACTTGACCAAAGTCTGACCATGAAATACCAAATGGATAGCATAAAAAACAAGGCGAAAAGAAGACCCCAACTTTTTAAGAAACTCGCAAGCAGTTCATGTGGATTAGACAAACAAACCTATACCTTGGTTATGTCCGATCTTCCCTGGAATATAGCAATAGCCTTCTCACCATGTGCGGTACAACTATTTGCAATACCCTTGACAATGTCCAAAATAATTCCCTTCGTTTCACAAACGGTGGCATGAGATCTACACCTACTGCCGCATGTGAAATTCTTTCAAATGCTGAACACCTGGGAATACACAGAGATAAAGCAGTTTTGGAGCTCCATGAAAGAACCAAAAGAATGTGCCCCAACCACCCAAACAGGACATTAATAGAAACATGGAAACCAACCAAAGAAACGTTTTCAACAAAAATCAATCATGCATCACATCACAGAACTAATGGAGAGTCACCATCTACCACTAAACAGAAGAGAAACCAAAGAGTCAACCAAAACATCCCTCCCCACTTTTCTTTGGACAAAAAATCACAACATAGAGACAGTAGCACAAAATTTTCAGACTCATTGACGCTGATATGCCTGCATCACATCGAACAATCGACAGCTATTCAGATGAGTGGATACACGTCTATACAGACGGCTCAGCATTCAAAGGCACAGCCAAAGCCGGATATAAAAACATGTACTAGATCTAATACAATAACCAGATGGAAGTTCCAAAGAGATCTCAGCAGCATGTGGAGAAAAAAGCAACAACTACGATGCAGAAATGATGACAATTGAAACAGCACTAATATACCATCTCCGCACAGTTTTTGACATTCATCAAGCGATAGAAAATGACCATCATCTAAAATACGACTTGACACATACAATTTGGCTCCCATCACCTGATACAGTAACATCAGCTGTAGCGTCAACCTGGTGATACAGTGGATTCCCGGACACTCAAACATACTTGGAAATGAAAGCAGACACACTCGCCAAAGGGGATCTAGACAGGAACAGCCCAACACTCCAACCTACTCATACAACACAGACAGGCCTTTGGGAAAGACAGGCAGGGCAGTTTTCAAACATATGACCACAACAAAACAAAATTACAAGATTAACCTCCAACAGAGAAAGAAACAGACCACGATCTACCGCCTATGAACAGAGCATCAGCTCAACTTTCACTAGAACAGAATATATATGTGTGTGTGTGTGTGTGTGTGTGTGTGTGTGTGTGTGTGTGTGTGTGTGT